CGTTTGAAAATAATTTTCATTGTTTTAAAAAGATAATGTAGGATATGTTTTGAAAAAAATTCCTTTATTAAAGAAACAATTCCATAACATATTCGATTTTAATATTTATATGCAAATAATTATTTCAAAATTTTGTTTATTTAAAACAATTCAACTTAATATTGGATATGTTTTGAAAAGATTCTTTTATTGAAAAAATAATTTCTAACATATTCGATTTTAATATTTTGTATGCAAATAATTATTTCAAAATTTTGCTTATTTAAAACAATTCAAATTAATATTAGATATTGTAGATCACATCTATTATTTGCTTACTATATATTTAAAATCTAAAATAGGTTGGATTGTGTTTAAGGTGATAAGCACGACCTTTTTTGTTGTGGGAAATCAAACAAAAAGTATACTATTTTAGGTATAAATTCTGATTTCATTTGATAAGCTCAATCAAATTTGATTATGACCGAATCAAACAATTTTGAACAATATTAAATTAATCAATTACTTTTGAATTAATTTTATTTGATTTTCACGTCGAAAATTTTCTAAAATACTATTTTTTTTTTTGTGGAAAATATCGGCTGAATGAAAAGGTCAAATTCAAATTAAAAAAAAAAAATGTTGTTTTGAAAAATATATTTTGTAAACCTTAAGTCATAAAAATATGGTCAATGATATCTTTAAATACAACGGGTAAATATGGTCAATAATATCATAAATTATTTTTTATATTCGGGTATTTCAACTTAATTGATGATTTTTTTTTCCAAAAAAAGTATGATGGGCATATAATTAACTTTATCATATATCTAATATTTGATGTTATTAGTTTAGTTGGGGATACCCATTATATTCAAATAAATAATATATAATTTTTCATATTTGGTATTTTTTTTTTTTTTTTACAATAATGAGATGTTAAACATAAATAACTATGTTTAATATAAAGTCTTAGAAAAGGTTTTAAGTACAAAGCCCGTCCGTGCATCGCACGGGATACACTCTAGTTAATACAATAAACTAATGTTTTAAATATTGGTATGCACGGCCGGTATTACTGGTAATACCGGTGGTCCAACCGGTATGATTATCTTCAAAATACTGTTTTGGCCAAAATACCAGTTTATACCGGCTTCATCCATAAAATACCGGTTTTACGGGACAATACAGACCAGACTAGATTTAGAAAAAAAAAATATATATATATATATATATATTATATATATATATTTATATAAAATATTTTTATTAATTTATTTATATAAATAGAAAGTTCTACACTTAATTTTAATATATTTACATTGTTATTTGATTTTAGATAATTTTAGTACTTATTATAGTTAATTTTATATATTATTTATATTATATTAATAGATAAATTTAATATTTTTTAAAACCGGTAAAATAGACGGTAAAACCGGTTGACTTGCATACCGGTGGCTCATCCGGTATGGTCACCGGTATGTTATTTAAAACATTGGTTTAAACTTCCATACTCCCAAGGACTATCACATTTTCAATCATTTCATGGAGGGTCTCTAGCCATAATGTGAACATCTTGGCTTGGTTATTGTTACAGTATTGAAATAAAATTGTCAAATAAAAGGAGAACATCTATTGAACTGTAAATACAATATTTATTGGATGAATTATAGAATTGGGAATTGAAAATACATTTAATTGAAAAAAAAAAAAACACCAAGAATTACTATTGACAATTTAGAACTAAGATATGAAGATTCCCAATCCGTAAGACAAAATTCATTAATGTCCTACACAGGATAACATCTATATATATATATTAAACTGAAGCAGCTGGAATTTTCCCTCTCATTTTTGCATTAATTTTTGTAGAAATTTTATGCTAAATAACTTCCACATTATTTTAGATATTGTCTAAACATTTATTGTAGTTTAGTAAACTTTAATCCTAATATATTGATTGCAATTTTAGGAAATTGTGCATACACATTAAAACAATATGCAAACATTATTTCTTACAAATAAATAATTAAATGTTATTCTTAATTATGGATTGAAAACTTGCACTTCAATTTTCATAAAGATTTATTTTATAAATGATTGTTTAGTGTGAATTCTTATGAATATAACTCAAACAACAAAATATAATTAGTTTTTATAAAAAACTATTTTATAAATGATTATTTAGTGTGAATTTTCATTCCAATAATTCATTTTTCTGTTTAGTGTGAATTTTCATTCCAATTATCCATTTATCTGTTTTTTTTTTTTTTTTTTTTTTTT